GGAAGAAATTCCGATAGACCACGGCTTCAAAGCCCGGAAAACATTTCTAAATGTAATCTGACCGGCCGTGAAAGCCTTCATAGTCTGATAAAGTTTATTTTGTTTACAACATTTGGGTGGGCTCGGAAAACCTTAAAACTTTTTGAAGCGAATAAAACAGGCGGAATATTTTGACCTTTTTTAAACAATTAATCAACATTTCATAATTAAATGCTCAAAAAAGACTTTTATGTTCCAGATAGGAAGTCTAAAAGGATTCTACCTCTTTGAGCATCAAAACATTCGCAAACGATCCATTGTGGCCAACAGTGATGTGCACAAGACCCTCAGCGAAGAACCACAGGTAAGTCCCACCTTTAATTTGGGATATTATATGCGTAAAAACTGAGTTTGCCGATTATGTCGAATCTGATTAAGTCATGAGCAAACCGTCCAAATGTACGTTAAAATTACGTCAAATATACGTTATTTAGTTATGAACAATGAAATTAAATACATTTTCTTTTTTCGCCTGTTCTGTATGTTTAATAAACATATGTGGACTTCAGATTAGAGTATCCAAAACTTAACACTTTTAATCTATAGGGTTGGAATACCTTCTACACTGACGATAAAGGACAAACGTTTTACCACTTTGTCAAAACTTTCTAGTAACAACTGACGTGTGTTTCGGCAGCCATGCTACCATCTTCGGAGGAAGATTAAAACTGATTTTTGAATGGTTTTAATTTGACTAATGTAAAATTCCTAAGTCTGAAATGAGAAATACCTGAAAAAGGGAACTCCTAAAAAAATTAAGAATAAGGTGTTTAGCTTCATTTCAGTAAAAATAATTTTTTTTCTTGCCAACTGTAAGTACATAGCGCACGAAAGTGCGTGCCCATTTCTCAATTGTATATTGTGTGTTTGGACACAATGCTTGGATTGTGTATTTGGTCGACAACAATTTACAAGAAAATTCGTTTCTATAGATTGGCCATAATAGGCACGTGGTCTTGAAGAGAAAACATTATTTACGCAATAAATTTATTGTTAGTTCTAAATATTGCATTTCTATCTTTCCAAGTTAAATTATTTACCAAAACGCACGCAAAACGTGGGTGCATGGCCTCGTCCTATAACGTGACGCATTAGTAAATATTGATTCGTGCTCTATAAGCAAAACACTGGGGCGACCATAAACTCGAAAGAAACCCATAAATAAGGGCACTGATTGTTTATGTGGCAAGTTATAGCGATAAGTGTGGAAATACCGAGTAGGAACCCTTTTAGGCGGGGTTAGTCTGGTAGATGACGAATTGGTAGACGGATGTTATGAGATCGCGCATATCCTGTTTGCGACTAAAGTAACTCAAAGTGGTGTCTGTGGTGTCTGTGGTGTCTGTGTGCTTTTTCTTACATGTCTCTATGCTCAATGAATATAGTTTTAAAATAGTGTATACCTTGAATGTTAAATGAAATGAACTGCATAGTTTGCAACTGGTATACGACCTCGTGCAAAAACAGATCAATAGCAACACTAATAGGGCGATAAGGAAATAGTGAGAGAAAAGTAATTAAGGCTCAGAAAGCGAAACAACGGGAATGATCTCATATCATTGAACGACGATATACGTAAGATGTAAACAGAAGTAGATAGATCTTAAAGAATGTGAAAAACAATTTGAAGAAAGTGGTATGGTTACAGAATGTTAATTAAATAGAAAAGTAACCTCTGATATAAGTTTTATAAAAGACTTATGTGCATTAAATTATACTCAGCGCAAACGATTAATTACAATGTGCTTCCAAGAAAATTTTCCGATTCGTTTAAAAATTCGGATGGGCAGGTATTTATTGTTTTCGAAAAATTATACCAACATCGATTAGTAAATTCAAGGCACATTAGGGTTATTTGCCTTAATAAAAACTTAGCAAATAAAAAAAGGCACGAACGAATTATCTACTTAAATGATGTAGGAAAAGGCAGAAGCCAATGTTGACCACAACCAAAGACATTAATAAATAGACCAAGCTAGTTGTTGGCGCGGATAGAACATTTATGAACGTGTCAGTTCGGCGTCCTATCATTATTTTTGTGCTGGTGTTTTTTGGTGTGTAACAATGGAAAAGTGAAGTTGTCAATCTAATAATAATCAATAAATAGAAATTAATAAATCAGTAATCATCTAATCAATCATCTATAAAAAACGAAATAAAAAGGCAAGCAGTAATCCTCAGCGCACTAAAGCATAAAGGTGTGCAAAACACTAGTCATTCATAAATCCCGATTTGTTTGATGATTTGATATGATATGATATTAATAAAATACAGCTTTAATTTAATCGGAAAATCAACTGGCCTGGCTGCTAGCCATAGGCGTAGTAAAAATCTGTATTATCGATTTATTGTAAGCATGAAAGATTCATTTATTTTCTGACCTTTTTCTCAACATAATATGTTTGAAATTATAAACGCTATAATAGTAACGCAACTTTTTTAAGCATTTGATAGCGATGAAATAGGGATCGAATAAGGCTCTTAGCTTATAAATTCAAAACAACTGACGCTACTGGTCCCTGTTTACAATCGTGCAAAACAGTACAGCTTAGAAAAATTTAGGACGATTTTCCTGCAATTGAAACGACTTCGCACGATTTCTTTTAAGCGTAACAGTTTATTAATATCACGATTATCACTTGTTATCACCAAAACACTCTTCCCCTCTTAGTGTCATGTGATTATCACGTTCTCCCCCCTTTGCGGTGTTGTCATGATTAATGTTTCATTATGTTTTCTGGTAATTATCACTAAAAATTCTTATGAATTTTTAAATATAAAATTTCGACGCTGTTATTTTAATGACATTTGCTTGTCGCTTATTATAAACTACGTAAATATAACACTAAATATATTCATGGCTACCATTTTACTGCTATTTTCTTGTTGATGCCACTCATATATACCAAATTGAATACCGAGCCGGCAAAGCAGCCTCGTAAGTACCTAGTTTTGTATAGACTGTGAACCAATGTTGCTCCCATAGAAAAACGTAAACAAATGCATCTGTTTAATCTGAGACCACAATCTAAGGGACACGATGATTTTTTTTATTGCGCTCTGATTGCTGTTTCGTTAAAAATGGTCGATGTGGCAACTATTTTCTACTATCAACATGGTTATTCCGGAGGTCATATTAAATTATTGGATTAATTCTGAAGGGCTACTCATTCTGATAAACAGATTTGGTATTCCCTTGAATTACATTCACACTTCAATACAAAAGGGTATTTCATTGAATACATTTTTTGAATAGGTAAATAATTGAGTAAGCGGTATTGTGTTGTTATTATAGTTTCAAATCTAGTAGCCAGGATTGTATGAACAGCCAGTTTCTCGTGGTTGAAGATCTTTTCATTCTTTCCTAGGTGGAGTGTATGTTCAAGTGGTGTGTATGTGTGATTTGATAAGTAAAATCTCTCATCGGAGAAGTGCAGATTTACTTTCTTACTCTAGTAGCTTGGGTTACTTTAGTAGAACGTTTGGTTTCATATGAAATCCTGTCAGTTTATAGTAAAAGAAACCTAAAAGCAGTATAATTGCATTGGCAAATGTACTTGTCTGGAAATTGATTCTATTCAATTTGAAATTGGTTAGTGATGAAGATAGATTAGCTTAGAAAAAATTTACAGTTTCCTTGCAAAATCTTCAAATTTATGGCAGCTTGTTTTCTTTGGATTAGACAAACTACAGTGAGTGACATAAGAGTTTAAACGTATTGTGATATACAGGTTGTCCGGAAAAAGTACGACCAACACTTAACGAGGCTACTCTACAGCAAAAATGAGTGTGGCAAATTTCTAGAACACTTTTGTGAAAACTCAATAACAACGGATCTACAGGGCGTTAAAGTTTAGTTACACTGGATTATAAAAATAATTTTTTTTTGAATGACTTTTTTATTGGTCATCCGATTGTTGTCCAATTGGGCACACTTATTACCGATGATAATTTATGTTATTAGTCAAAAGTTGACATTTATTCGAGAATGATAAAGGGTTGAACTCACCCATGTCATCTACTGAATTACCTATACTTTTTTTCCTTCAGCTTTTTGTTGTGTATGATCTCCAAAAATTAAAGATCGTTTAAAATTACGTAAGAAAGGGTTACTTGTTACATCGCTCTAAAGTGAGCAGTTCTCGAGAAGATCTACTTTCAAAATTGTGCTGCACGGCGGCGTAAGCACGTCACATTATTTCAACGTTTTTAACAGAGCGTGCCAGAGAAAAAATGTTGTTAATTCTTATAGTAACAGTGGCATATGTACAAACAATTTTGACAGATTGTAGTGTAAAAATAGATGTTAATGATTTGTCGATTATACATTTTTGCCTTCAAATAGAGTATGACCAACGGCACTGATGGGCAAAATTAGCGCACCACCTATAAATTTCAAGGGAAAAATAATATAAACCCTACATTCTTTTATCAAACTATAAAATTATTGTTTTAAATTAATATGAGAGTTTTTTCCCATAAATAACTCTATAGTGTCATAACACTAACTTTTCAGATTAAAAAAACTAGCCAACTTCTTGGACGAAACAGAATATAAGTTTTGGGAGTGGTATTTTCAGGTTAAGCCTGGCGCTTGAGAACTAGCAGTCTTTGGAAGTACCTGAGGTAATTGGAATGGCAGCAATAAGAAACATGATTGTGGTTCCATTTGGTAAACATCTCAAACAAAATCAATAAGTGATATAAAATACATCGGCGAAATAAATAATATGTTTCGAAACTCATTTTCAGAATAAACCCTAAATGAGCTACCTAAATACATGAAGCTCTAAATAACTGAAACCCGTTATGACGATGCACAAGATCCACACTTTTCAAAATTTATCTACAGGGTTATTCACACTATACGGCACGGAAGTTTGTGGCTAAACCGTTTGATTTTTTTAAAGTATTATTTTATGAATTGTCCGACGCCTACCGAGCGGACATTTTACAAATATTTTCGTAATGCCCAGGGTGCCCCAAAAGCTCTAAAGATATCAACGCTTTTTTAAATAGAATGTCCTGTATATTAGTGCATTTTTGGATTCGCTGAACAAAATAAGTGTCTGTTTTAATAAGGTTTATAACACCTAAATCTTAAGGTTTTTGAAATAATACGAATTTAATCAAAATCTTATCTAATTTTCACGTGTCAAATACTTTAGAAGTATTTAAGTTATGTAAGCGTAATTTATAGTGAAGTGTAAGAAGGTATAATATTTTATATCCCAATGATAATAAACTTACCATGTTATACAGGGTGTCTACAAATTTAAACTAATCAAATAAGAACTTTAAGTT